TCTCAATGACACCAACAATAAGGCTTATTTTATCTCACTGACACCAACAATGGGGCTTATTTTATCTCACTGACACCAACAATGGGGCTTATTTTATCTCATTGACACCAACAATAAGGCTTATTTTATCTCATCTCATTGACACCAACAATGGGGCTTATTTTATCTCATTGACACCAACAATGGGGCTTATTTTATCTCATTGACACCAACAATGGGGCTTATTTTATCTCACTGATACCAATGATGGATGTCAAGGAAATCATGCCCACGGTGACTGGCTAACTGGAGTGAGATCCTTGATTGGTGGAGAAGGAATGAGGGTGGAGCTTTCTCTGAATTCTCTAGAGTTCTCATCTGTTGACAATTGATGGACTGATCTGAATTCTGTGTGAAATATATCTGGTTGTTAATGATTGGCTGGAAATCAGGCGGTCACACCCCTAACCGATGACTCCTCATCTGTCGGCAGGTTTCCCCACTGACAGCTGAATGTCCACAAAAGAATTGTCAGCAATTACAAATTGTGGAAAACCCCTCAGAATGTCTCTGAGAAGAAATGATATTTTATCTTCTCTCCAACTCAGACTATATTTGTCTTAGACGTAAGAGGCCCAAAATCCCGAGTCCCTGTCAGGTCTGAGCTCCAGCCGGATACAATCACCTTCTCCACTCACATAGTTTGCTTTTGTAAATGAAGTGAGTACAGAATTGAGGAAAGCGAGGACACCCGGCAACAATGGGATTCTGTCCTATCTCCTGCACCCGGAGCAAATGAACAACATGTACCAGCCTTCCCAGCCCCATCAATGTACACTGTGGAGGCATCTTGTATGTAGACTCTGGATTCAACAAACCAGCAGCCTGGCCATTCAGGAACGTACCATTGTTTAGCTCTGGGGGGGAAACAAACATCTCTCATGGAAAGGAGCTCTGGGGAGTCAACAGACCAATCTCTCATCTATACATATGTTTCCATCTATCCACATCACTCCATTCTTTTTCTGGACAAAACCATTATAAATATCAGCGACAGATTTACAAATCTAGGATTTTACAATGAGAACACAATGTCACAAGGGATCTATAAAAGATTTTATCCGGACACAAGATCCCATTGTAAGAAAGGAATTCTGAATATGAACAGCGACTGCTATGTGGGATCCCATTATATTCAGTGCGGGGAAATGTATCTGTAATGGAAGCGTAGGCAGGACAGAACACACGGAGAAGATGGGGAACACACAAAACTTTATTGAAACAACAAATTGACAGACACTCAATAGGGAAATGGCAGGGAGGGTGATGTGTGCGCAAACCAGGGACAATTCCAGGCACAGGGGGGGTCTTCAGGCAATCTCCCCCCTTAGGCTTGGGGCCTCAGCCGGGCTCCCTCCGTGACTGGACAGCGGATTGGAGACTCGGGCAACAGGTGGCAATCTACCCCTAGGCAGGGGCTTCGGGCAACAGACAGCAACCTACCACTGGGCAGGGGCCTCGGGCAACAGACAGCAACCTACCACTGGGCAGGGGCCTCGGACAACAGGCGGCAATCTACCCCTGGGCAGGGGCTCGGGCAACAGATGGCAACCTACCACTGGGCAGGGGCCTCGGGCAACAGAAGGCAATCTACCCCTCAACAGGGGCTCGGGCAACAGACAGCAACCTACCACTGGGCAGGGGCTCGGGCAACAGACGGCAACCTACCACTGGGCAGGGGCCTCGGGCAACAGAAGGCAATCCACCCCTCAACAGGGGCTCGGGCAACAGACAGCAACCTACCACTGGGCAGGGGCCTCGGGCAACAGACAGCAACCTACCACTGGGCAGGGGCCTCGGGCAACAGACAGCAACCTACCACTGGGCAGGGGCCTCGGGCAACAGACAGCAACCTACCCCTGGGCAGGGGCCTCGGGCAACAGACAGCAACCTGCCACTGGGCAGGGGCCTCGGGCAACAGACAGCAACCTACCACTGGGCAGGGGCCTCGGGCAACAGACAGCAACCTACCACTGGGCAGGGGCCTCGGGGACTCAACGGGACTCTAGTTGTGGAGGCTGGCCACAGCACAGCTCCCACCCAGCCCAGCTTTCTAGGGTCACTGGGCTCACAGGGACTCAACAGGTAGCGATGGCTCAAGCACTCAGGGGCACCACAGGTAGCTATACTCTGGGCATGCCATCAGGACACGGGTGGTCAGTGCACACACAGCGGGGCGGTTCGGAACACGGGTGGTCGGTGCACACATCGGGGACAGTTCAGGACACGGGTGGTCAGTGCACACAGCAGGAACAGTTCAGGACACGGGTGGTCAGTGCACACAGCAGGAACAGTTCAGGACACAGGTGGTCAGTGCACGCAACAGGAACAGTTCAGGACACAGGTGGTCAGTGCACACAGCGGGGACAATTCAGGACACGGGTGGTAAGTGCGCACAAACAGGAACAGTTCAGGACACGGGTGGTGGTCAGTGCACACAGCGGGGACAATTCAGGACACGGGTGGTCAGTGCGCACAACAGGAACAGTTCAGGACACAGGTGGTCAGTGCGCACAACAGGAACAGTTCAGGACACGGGTGGTCAGTGCGCACAACAGGAACAGTTCAGGGCACTCACGGTAAGCAGCTTGCAGACCCTCAGCGGCAGGTGGCTCCAGACAGGGATGACCAGCGGTCAGCGTTCCAGGGACAACCAGCGATCAGCAGACAGTAGCAGCTCCCAGGGCACTCAGCAGCAGACAGCCTCCAGGGACACGCAGCCACGGACAGTGTGCAGGCTCCCTCAGCAGCAGCTCCCAGGGCACTCAGCAGCAGACAGGGTGCAAGGGTGCCCAGTAGACAGGCTTACAGACTGGCAGGGTCTCAGCTGTGGGGTCTGACCTTTGAGGAGAAGGCTCATGCAGAGCTGTGGAGACTCCCAACCCCGAGGTATTGCAGAGGGCTGCAGTCCTGACCTTTTGGGGGTCTGCAGAGCGCGCAGGGGGGATGGCTGGGGAGACTCGGTCCCCCTCACCCGAGCCTCCCAACATCTTTCTGGGAGTAGGATGATTCTACTCACATGGACAGGAACAAAAGGGAAGGCTGCTTCCTGTGTGGGTCTCTTGAAGATCATGTGGGACGCGGCTAGGTTACCTCGGCAACGGCTGGCCCAGCCCTGTCCATGGAAGCCCCACAGACCTTCTAATGTATAAGGGGGAAGGGAGGGGTGGAGGAATATGGCGGGGGATGGGAGAGGCACTGGCAGTCCGTGACAGTATCTTTTATATTTTACTGAAACCTTAGATAATAAATGACATTTATGTCCCAGAAATTAACTTTACTGTATTTTTAACTGAAATTGTACCTTTCATAAATCATTGCACTAATATTGTGTAAAATAATAAAAAAACTCATAAAACATTAGAACTACTAACAATGTATCCTCTAGTGTGTCTGCTGTTGTGAAGGAATATATATAATATTTGGGGGTTTTAAGTAATTTTAAGGTATAAATGGTCTTTAAAACATGTAAACAAAAAAATAAAAAATGTCTCCAGAAATCCATGGACCCCTTCATTCCACACAGTCTCCAGGAACCGGGAAACCACAGAGAAACCAAGTGTCCCCCGACTTCCTCTCCAGGCTGGGATGTCCCCCTGGTTGGGTGCCCCCTACAGTAGAAGAAGCAGACTGCACCTGCCTACATCTTCTTTATGCTTTGTATGATCAGGATGGCGGTCATTTCTCCCTGAACACGGAGCGCCCTAAACACGAGGTAAACGTGGTGCAGCATTGAGCCCCGTCCAGCTGTAGTGTAGACTTTGACAGGCTGCAGGCAGCGGGGCTGGACGCTGTACCTGTGCCTACCAGGTGTATTATAATGCCAGCATTGCACCCACAGGGGCTGGACCCCCCATGTACAAGGGGCCTAAGAGATACCATCAGCTGGTGTCCCATTCCACCAGACCCCTATAACTGGGAAGAGGACATTTTTTTGGGGGGGGTGTTGTAGAAGAACCCAGACCACGGTATTGTGTGATGAAATTATAATTCAACTTTATTAATCATATATATGTGACACTTTAACAACAGAAGAAAAGAGATAGATTGTTTACATTTCAAGGATCTATTTATACCATTTATGTCATCTATGCTAAGAAACTGATTAACATATGACACACCCCCCATTAATACCAGCCCCGCCCACTTATGTAACCCTCTAAACATCCCAAATCCCTGTAAATTCCCAGAAGACACTTTCATCTTTTATCCATAACAAGCTGATTGGGTACAAGAGAACCCCGAGCCCCTCCTACTCATTCCCACACAAGTCCATGTCACCATCTACAAGGTGAGAGGACCTGAAGGAGAACAAGACCAGACCACCAGGACCATCGCCTGACTGAAGCCATGCTCACATTTCTTTCTAATGCTGCTTCTATGGTCTCCTCAGATACAGATTTGGCAGATGTACATTAGTGGAACCCTTTCACTCCGGCCAATGTAAGGTTTCCATCAGCAGCAGCACGGCCTTATAGCTACAGCACCCGGGGGTTGTCTACATTTGTTAGGCCAACTGTCGGATTTCTGGTAGAAGTGATTCAGCCGCACTGAAGGTCCTCCCCGCCATGTATACCGGGCTCAGCTGTCCCTCCTGCAAGCCCAAGACAGGCATGGTGGGTGTCAGCGGTGAGAGCAGGAGATCATCAAACATCTGATCTCTGATCTCCCCTTCAGTGAATGAATGTGGGAGGTGGGAGATTATGTCATTTCTGGGTTCAGTGCTGTCATTCTCCAGTCACTATGGTTTGGGAAGGAGCTGATTAGGCATGATCTGTGCTTGACCATCTTTCTTGGGGTACAGAGGTGACATTGGGGGTCTAATAATGTTCTGATGTCTCTTTAAAGAGGACCTGTGACCAGAAATATGTATCACGGGGGGCTGTCAACCCCCTATCTGATAGAAGCCATGTTAAGTGAAAAAAGAGTTGAAAAAAATTAAAGTAACACTATAAAAATTTTAAAAAAAAAACAAAACAAATCACACGACACATTTTACATATCATTGCACAAGCGAGAGTGAGAACAATCATTCTGAGGCCATCGTTCAGGGATAACTATCTGAACTGATAACCTATAAAGGCTCTTAAAGCGTCACCTTTGAACAATTTTTGGTACTGAAGTTTGTCACCATTTCACAAGTACGCACAATTTGTAAAGTTTGACATGTTTGGTATCTATATACTTGATGACAACCCCATATTTTATATTTCACCAAACAAATTGGGTCATATATTGTGTTCTTTGTGCACTAACATTATCTTTTTTTACAGAAAATATGTATTTGATAAACAGCTGTACTAATATTCTGTGACATGAAAAATGGCAACTACCACCATTATATTCTCCAGAGTCTCTGCTTTCAGATAATAAAAAGAAATGTTTGGGGTTTAACTAATCATATGGCCTAAAATGTGAATTATTTAACTAAAAACAAAAGCAAAATAAACTCTGGCAGTGAAAGAAAATACAGCAATATATAACATTTTCAAAATCAAAACTATGATAGCAACTAATGGCTTAAGAAGCAAACCCACCATATTAACTCAACCAGGTTCCAACTAAACCCACCCAAAACATTGGATCCCACCTCCCCCCACCCAGGTTCCTGTTGGAACTCCTTTACCTTGTGTAGATATCCCCTTCTGAGATCCTCATGATCTAATATAAATGTACAACACTCTCCATCTGACACCATTTGTAGACTCCACCTTGGTCTGCCAAGAGATAGTCAGCTGCCATGCAGTTCTGTGACACCACCTTAGGTGGTGGAGCCACTTCTGCTGTCAGCTCTGCTATAACATCAATGGTGTCATTGGTTATCTGATCCATGACTCCAGTACACCGGTTCATCTTACTTATCTTAGATTCCCCATCCCGTCTATGAAGGGCTCACTGCATGCATAAAGCATCTCCAATCCAGAGAAAATGTTTCTTCTCACTGGAAGGCCAGGGGAGTATTGGGAGAAATTGAGGCTTTCCCTTACAGATATGGGGGAGGGGCAACATAACCTAAAGTACAGCTATATGGGTGGAATTGAAGGGAAGCCATTTTAGGGTGCTCCTTCCACACAAGAAGCAAATGTTATCTGGAAGGACTAGGAATCCATTGGACCAATGGGGATTAAACATTCTGCAATTACATTGAGAAACCATGAAATGTTACTGGCCTGTGATTGGCTCTCCTATTGTTAGTGAAGTAAGTGAGACTCCCCTTGTCGGTGTCATTAATGGAAAGAAACCATGTGAAATGTTTCTTCCAAATCCAAAAAGGTGACCCCCTTGGGTAAGTACCCATCCTAATATTCCTGATATGAGTTGTAGTCCCTGCTATACAGGAAACATGTGGGCAATCATTTACACCTTTTACAGCAGGACAGTAAATATCAGAACACAATTCAAACAGAAGACCAACAGCAGGAAGTCTGCTAACTGAATGTGTAATGCAATCTGTCATTAGCATTCCCAGAGTTCCCTCTGCAACATAGTTGTATCAGCTGTTGGTCCTGTCTGTAGATCTGTTATTTCCCCACCTTCTGTAACAGGGTGACAACCCTGATCATTCTGCAGGAACATTACACAGCAGCGTTGTCACCCTGTACAGGGAAGTCTTAGATAGATTATAAGTAAGACACACAACAAGTAAAGTCCAACTCCAGCTAACTCTTCTACAGCAGTTACAGCAACAGGATTTCTATAAGGTTCAACCCCCCATATGAATGGAAAGATGACAGTTGTAAGCACCCCCAGCAGTGTTATATATGGTGTTTCCTACAACCCCCCCAACTTTTATTTTTGCCAAATAGCTTGGCCTTCTACAGGAAGCAGAAAAAAACAGATCTACTGGGAGGGTCAACAGGTAATAAAAAATGTTACGAGGGGAGACTTGGAAAAACATAAAACATTTATGCTAATGACAGATTGCACCATTTATGTAATTATTGATTTTGCCCATTGTTACACTTTAGTGACGATGTCTTAGCATTTCCAGGAATAATTAGTGCTCTTGCACACTTTGCCCCAAAAAGGGACCCGTTCATTCAGAGTCATTAAGGTGAACCCCAATAAGAGGAATTTCAGTCTCCCAGAAGAAGTGGTAGGAATATGACCGCACACTTAGCACTTTGTAAGTTCAGATCTCTTGCAGTTGTACCGTGTGAATAGTTTATGGAGATGAGCAATAGCTGGACAGAAAAAAAAATAATAAGGACATCCAATCTTCACCTGATAGAATCCCTTTTGAGAAAACCAGATGAAACATAAGTGGCCAGCTGGGATTAGGTGGTACTGTTGAATATGTCCCCTAAAACAGCATTAACTCCGTGTTGGAAGGCCTACACCAGCTTAAGAAGTTACTCTCTAACCAAACAGAGACCTCTATCTGGCTGGTATCTCAGCTACAGACCTGCCTGCAAAGATGTCATCCATGAGAGGAGAT